TAGTAAATTTAATAGTAAATTTACCCCAATTCTTAATATGGAAACAGTGCCGATTATAGATGGATTAGCAATTAAGTTAATTAATTAGATTGAAATAAATCTTCAGCTCAAAATTAATAGTAAATCTATATATTTTTATTATATAATTTTTATTACATTTTTAAAAAAAAATAATGTCCCGCATTGTATAAATAAACTAGAAACAAGATCCGGAGCTTAAAATTATATATAACTTGGCATGAAAAATTCTATAGTATGTATAGGAAAATGCCAAAACTACGTCTTTGATTCTTTCGTTAACAATTCACCAAAAACGTAAGTTGTCAAATTTCATTTATAATGTATTAAATTGATAATGAGTAACATGTATTTTTTAACTTTATAAACATAACTTTTAACATTCCTACCTAATTGTATCATGTTCATCATGTTCTACATCTACGTTACACGCAGGTCTAAACGTTTTATTGGTTATATATTTCGCGAAGAAATAAGCCCCTAAATCTAATAATACCCGATACACGTTTTTTATTTCCTAATATAACGTGTATCTTTTAATATATATAAATCTAATTTCAAAAAAAAAAAAAACGCGTCTGGCTAAATAAATTCTTAAAACGAAACTATGAATTTAGACAGTTACGACAGACATAGTGAGGCCGAGGAAGTAGGAACAAAAAAGGGTCCACATAAAAAAAAAAAGTTTTTAGGTAGCATACAAAAAGCGCAAGATGAATTTGCGTCAGAATATGGATGTATTTTTATGGATTTTTGCGAAGAGTACGTCAAATAATAATAAAATTATACTATCATGGAATTTTTATAGTATCGTTATAGTTTAATAATGATATATTTAAACGCGTTTTCATTTTATCAATTCTTTTTAATTAATATTTTAGATTTTACGAAGGAGATAATGATGGAATTCGACCATATTTAGAACAATTACGATATTTATCAAGGACAGGAAAACGCATATTATATGTCGATTTTAAGCATGTAATGCATTATAAACAATCGGATTCTCTATCAAAAGCCATTTCTCAACAATATTATAGGTATGTAATAGTGTAATAATCAAAATCAATTTTTTTTGGCACGTGAAAGTCGCGTCACACTTGATGCTCATTTAGGTAATAAAATTTATAAAGGCTTGAGCCATATCTCCGAAGGGCAGTTGAACGCCTCATGGAGATATATTTTCCTGATCAAAGTAAAAAATCTGGTGTTGGAAATCGATATCATGGCAATCAAGAGACTGGAATTTTGGATCAGAATGGCTACGCGCAAGACGAAAATGCGCAAGATCAGGAGTTTGTGACACTGGAGAAATCTTATTCCTTAGAATATTCTGTGGCCTTTTATAATCTACCTTCTTTAAATCGCATCCGAGATTTAAAAACCGACAAGATAGGGACCTTAATGAGTATATGTGGTACAGTAACAAGAACAAGTGAGGTTCGACCTGAATTACTTTATGGAAAATTTGTTTGTCAAGAATGTAAAGTCGAAGTTGAGAATGTTGAACAACAATTCAGTTATACGGAGGTATGTATAAAGTTTTTTTTTTTTGCTGCTACGAGTTTTAAATAGATTCAATGCACTCATGAGTATTTTTTTTCTAAAGCCGACCATGTGTCAAACACCAACATGTTCCAACAGAGATTCATGGGTACTTAAAATTGAAGAATCCAAGTTTACGGATTGGCAAAGAGTTCGAATTCAGGAGAACCCAAATGAAATACCTACAGGAAGCATGCCTAGAACGTGAGTCATTATTTGAAATGAATTTATTATTTAAATCATTTAAATTCGAAAATGTTGTAACTTTATTTCTTATAATTAAATGATATGAAAAGTCTTGAAGTTATTCTTCGTCACGAGATGGTTGAGGGAGCAAAGCCCGGAAACAAGTGCATTTTTACGGGTACACCTCTTGTTATTCCAGATATTCATCAATTGGGTATTCCAGGTATGCTAGAATTTAATCTTATTGGATATTCCGTGAAGAACTTTTTATTTCATATTTGCATGTATTTATTTTCAGGTGTTGGAGCTGAAGTTCAACGTGATACTCGTAATAATCGTTTCAAGGGGGCTGATGGATTAGCTAATGCCGGTGTCACAGGTCTAAAGTCTCTTGGTGCTAGAGATTTGTCATATAAAATATCTTTTTTGGCATGTACAGTACATAGTGTTGACGCGAAGGTGCAGATCCTTTCCTTTTTAGTCACAACTGATGGTTTTATTCTGATTTAAGTGTTTAACATCCGTTCCCTTCAAAAAAAAAAAAAACCCCCCATAATAATAGCGTGATGCTTATAATAGACTAACGGAAGTGGATGACATTGAAAATGATCATGAAGCGTTTGTTAAGTCAATGAAAGGGATGGAGAAAGAACTTTTGGATGAGATGAGCAGTGATGAAAGAATTTTCGATAACCTAGTTAAAAGTATCGCCCCAAGCGTTTTTGGTAATGCATTGATATTATCAGTTTATTTGTTTTAAGTGAATTAAATTGGCACATCATTAGTTGATTAACTTATTTAAAATTTAGGACATGAAATAATAAAAAAAGGAGTATTACTTCAGTTGCTAGGGGGTGTTCACAAAGAAACCGCAGAGGGTATGAATCTCAGGGGGGATGTTAATGTTTGTATAGTTGGAGATCCTAGTACTAGTAAAAGCCAGTTCCTTAAGTAATTATACATATTTAGCATCATTCGACTTTTCATTTTATATAGTCAATTTGTAACTTTAGTTATTATTTAGGTATGCTTGTCAGATACATCCTCGTGCTATATTTACCTCCGGAAAAGCCTCATCTGCTGCTGGTTTGACTGCAGCTGTCGTCAAAGACGAAGAGTCTGGTGATTTTACCATAGAAGCGGGTGCTTTAATGCTAGCAGATAACGTAAGCAGTATGACATTTCATTGACTGTATTTTTTATATCACATAAATAACTATATACATTTTCATTCGATTAGGGAATCTGCGCTATTGATGAATTTGATAAAATGGATATTTCTGATCAGGTTGCCATTCATGAAGCTATGGAACAACAGACAATCTCTATTGCAAAAGCTGGAATTCATGCAACATTGAATGCTCGAACATCAATTTTAGCGGCGGCAAATCCGAATGGTGGTCGATATAATAAAAGACTATCACTTAGAGTAATATGCAAATTTAATAAAGTTTTTTTTTTAAATGCCATTTAGGGTTAGTTCAAGCTAATCTTTTAATCTTTTAATTAGCGAAACATTTCGATGTCAGCACCAATTATGTCTCGATTTGATTTATTCTTTGTGGTACTGGATGAATGCAAACCCGACATAGATCAAATGATAGCTGAGCATATTGTAGAAATTCACAGAAGAGGAGATGACAGCATTAATCCACCCTATGATACTGAGACACTTCAAAGATATATTCGCTATGCAAGAACATTCAAACCAAAGGTTTGTAGTATATAATGCATAAATATTTATAATATATTTTGACAAATTTATCTATTTTTTTTCGAAAAGATTTCTCAGGATTCCAAAAGATTGTTAGTTGAAAAATATAAGCAACTTCGTCAAGATGATGCTTCCGGTGCGGCTCAAAACTCATATCGTATTACGGTTAGACAATTAGAAAGCATGATACGATTGTCAGAAGCTATTGCAAAGGCTCATTGCAAGAACGAAGTAGGTTGGATTTATAACAATGAATTTTGGTTAAAAAACCGAATATTTATTTATTTTATATAGGTAATTCCGGATTTTGTGAATGAGGCATCTAAACTTATACAACAATCTATAATTCATGTTTATCATGATGACATTGTATTGAGAGATGAAGTGCAACCTACTCAAAATAATCAGGTTGCGATGGATGTTGACAATGATGCAGGGGAGTCATCATCATCAAATCAACAAAGTCAAGATATAAAGATTACAAGAGAAGAACTTATCAGGATTCAAGATGCAATTCTTGCGAAATTATTGTCCTCAGAAAATCGCAGTATGTTTAACTATACAGCAAATTTTGATTATATATCCGTGATTATTGAATAGAAATTAAGATATCTTCATTCATTTAAAATAGCGTGTCGCGAGGAAGATCTTGTACAATGGTACATAGAACAATGCGAAGATACTTTGACAAGTGAATCGGAAGTCGAAGCCGAAGAGAAAAAGTTCAAACTAGTAGTGAAACATTTACTTAAGGTAATCATTTATGTGAATATAAATTTGAGTAATACGAATTATTTCTAATAATTTTTTTTATAGGAAAAATATTTGCAGAAAGTTCCTAGAGGTAGTCGAGAAGGTATCGATCTTGACGAAGATCAAGAATATGACCAAATGGACCTTGAGCAGGAAGAGTCGGATGAACTGACTATACATCAAAATGTTGACATGGATAATTGCTAAATTTTGACTATAATAAACTTGATTGCTTTGAATTTTCCGAATCGAATATCTTTTATAATTTTGTATATATTAAATTATATTATAATTAAAAGTTTCTAGAATATAGTAATAAAAGTATAAGTTTTATTATACGTAACCGTGTGATAATCACAGAATTATAATTAGGTGTTTATAAAATAGTTGTTGATTTTGATAACGTTATTGATGTACGTGATGTTAGTGATTTGGAACTTTAGTAGAAAACTACTATATTTGGGATTATTCTCCGAAACTTTCCGATTGTTATGATTAAGGGATAACGTTGATGTTACACGATTGATTTTACACGCGATGTGAAACACATAAAAAATTATTTTACAATACTTGAAATACTTGAACAATCTTGATCAGTCCGCTAGTAGATGTTATGATTATAATCCAACACCATTTTTATTATAATAAAAATGGTAATCATAACATCTACTAGCGGACTGATCAAGTATTGTAAATAATTTTTTATGTGTTTCACACCACGTGTAATATCAATCTGTAACATCAACGTTTCCTCCTGTTTTAAGGGATTGGAAAGACATTCATGCAATAACTGTTAGTAAATTACGTACATGTTACGTATTACGTATACATATGAACTGGAATTTAGGAAAGTTCTAATCCCGATCCCAAATTAGGCAGAATGCTATAATTGTCCCATTCGTGTTTGGTAACATCACTAATCACACCTAAATACGTACGTAGTGTTTAACCACCGTGATCAAAGTTATCCGTCATATCTACCTCTAAATCATTTCCAAATACCACTATTGTAATATCTACCCTCTAAATCATTTCCAAATACCGCTATTGTAATTAACCAAACAATATATGAATTATACAAAATAGAATTCATTTTTAATAATGATATGGATGAATTTGGATATTAAAAATGACCTGGACAATTGATTGGTATTAGCCAATTAAATGAATGTCTTTAAAAACTTCCCCAGGATCGCCAACAAAATTACTATGGAATTTTTATGCTCATGTGATGATCGATGAAGATAAGCCAGTAACGAATCACAATTTAGTGTAACGTTATCCGATAAGAAAAATCTAAAGAATTGGGAAATGCTACAGACAACTACCCCAACGACACCTCAAATTTTTCTGCAATCACGTGAAGTTTTAGCCAATCAGAATCTAATACAATTTAATTACGTATACTGATTTCTTTAATGATTATAATAAATAACGTTAATTATTAAAAAAAAAGGAAAATACACAAATGTTATCAAACTTTAAACAATGTACAAGATGCAACAAAATCATCAATCCAAACCAATTTCTTAATGTTAATTCAAATAATAATGATAATTCTTTTAATACTTGTTTATTATGTCAGCAACAATCTTCTATCCTTTATAAATTATCTACTAAGCCTGATAAAAATCAGGTATTATCTTTAAAAAAAATGGCACAACAAATATATAATAAAACAATTTAAATAAGTACAAATGAATATATGGAAAATGAATTAAATAGAATTGATTTCAAGTGCGATATTTTCTTTGAAGATCTTGGTGATAATCCAAAAGAAATATCAAATCAAATAAAAAATACAATTGGTGAAAATGATGGATATTATTATATGTAAATAAATTTATATATATTTGTTATTTTTTATTTTTATATTATTGTATTATATTTAATTTTTATTTTAATTTTAATTAAGTTATACAAATATATATATTCAAAAAAAACTTTATAATTAATTACTTTTCATTATAGTTGTTCTCAGTATTGCAATCTTGTCAAAAAACCTAAAAAGTATGAAAATATTGAAAATTAAAGAGATCATTAATATAAATAATAATTTGATTGTAAGGATATAATTAAAATCACAATTAATATGGAAGATAAGTGTGTATCAATTCATCTTAAACATTTTATAATTCATAAGCGGTCAGATAGATATAGTATTAGTGAGAAGATTAAGCTTGAGATTCAAAAAAATTTATATTTAGGTTTAAGTAAAATCTTTAAATAATTAGAACAAGAACATTTAGATTTAATATAAAAATAAGTATATGCATAGTGGGTTATTTTTATTAAAAGAGAATATATTCGAAATAATGATCAATTGATTTCAACATAACTTTTTTTAAAAAAATATGAATATAATATAATTTTAATTAATAATGATATCAGAATTAAATTCTTAGGATTTACTATGTTATTTTTTGAAATTATGAAAACAAATCGAGAAATTATTGTAGATGTAACTTATAAGACTAATGCACTAAGGTATAAATTTTATTCTATTATCAGACAATTTGATGGTTCTGGGTTTGCATAGCATATTTATTTGTAAAAGGGATAAATAAAAAAGATGATTTATGTACAGAAATTCTGATTTCCTTTTTTAAATCATTAAAAATTTAGAATTAGACCAAGTTTTTTTTTTCTAACCAATAAAGATTTTTCACAAATATTTATAGTACAACAAACTTGATCAAATATCAAAATTCAAATTTGTTATTAGTGTCAAAAATAATTAGCAGATAATAAATATCTAAAGACTATATTATATAGTTCTTATTTAGTTCATAATATATTTGATTTTATTAATACTGAGTTCTATTCTATACATCAGATGAGAATCGAAAAAAATTTATTTTTTGTACTAAAGATTTATATATAATAGTTCTTAATATAATTAATTGACATATGTACTTGTACCTATTAATTTTAGATATTATAGAAAATTTTTTAATAGAATATAAAATTTGAACAAATTCAGTAAAGAAAATATATGAATTTTGTATTAGTAATAATTTAAGACATTTTTGGATATATATATAAAACAATTGGTATCATATTGAAATATGGAAATTATAACTAAAATTAAAGATTGTAAATAAAGTTTATATCTTTCACACAATAATACTAGTGGAATTATATTGAAAAGTAATAAAACAAGATTATTTGTCAAAATTTTTTAAATCTAAACTTGATCTTGTAGCTTATATTATTCTTATATATTTAATACCATATCATAAACAACAATACAATAAATATTATAATAACTATAAAAAATCTTCTTAGAGAAAAAATTTCAAGAAAGAATAGATTTTGTTTCAAAAAAAAACTATTAATAACCAATATATAATAGATATTAATAAGTGGATTTGTTTATGTTCAAGTTTTTTAATTAACTATTTTTTTTTATATAAACATTTAGTGAAAATGTATTATTTATAGTTAATTCAAAATTTTTTAAATGTATTCAATAACAAGAAATTTGTTCATTTTTATTCATATCATCTTAATAATTCATATATTATTAGCAATATACTTTAATATCTAATGCATAACAAACTTTTATTTCTACATTACTATGTTATTCATTTAAAAGTAATAAATTTTTTTTAATAAAAAAATTTTATGATTACTAATTATTATTCATTTTAGATGTTATGAATAATATTACTAGTTTTATTAATAATATAAGTGATGATGATGAAGAATCTTGTTAGTTTTTTGAAGAATATGAATCTATATTACAAGATGTTCTTTCTATTATACAAGAACAACATGCAGCAAATAATACTTAGTGGACACAATCAGTTTATAAAAATTTTAATAATATTTGAACTATGATAAATGATATTAAAAACTATAAAAGGAGGATTACTAATCTATGAACTTGGAAAAACTACAATTGAAATACTATGTTTTTAGAAAAATAAAATAATTTGATATATAATTAGCTAAATATAATTAATTTGTCTTGATATATTAATTTATATCTTTTTTTATTATAGTAAAATTTCTGAAACTATTTTAAAAAAACAGGATTATTTAATATGCTATAGTTCAAGTAAATTATCTAATCTCTTCACAATATAAGATATTTTATTTTAAACTTAAAAATTATTAATACTAGAAACAATAGAACAATTTGTATACAAAGCAAAATGATAAAAATACATAAATGATTAAATATGAAATTATATAATTTATATTCATACTTATCTGTATAAAATAAAGCAAGTAAGGATGGCAATCTTAGTGTAGTGGTTAGGTTGTCATCACTGAATAACAGTCTTATAAGACTGTTATTCAGTTGCATTATAGTGTTATCTAGTTAGAATGATATAGTCTAGAATTTTATATTAGATTTTGACTATACCAAGTAGATTATGTCTGTTCCAAGTAGATTATAATCTGTGAAACTGTTCTCATATATGTGGCCAGTTATTTAGTTTCTTTTTTCTAGGTCATCCAACTAATTAGGAGAGAAGATGCATGATTCTACCTTTCTTGGCCTGTTTGGAGACCATCTTAGTTGCCGTCTTGGCCATATTCTATATTGAGATGCTTACCTTTTTGTGCCTATTCAGTTGCCTGTTAAAATATCAAAATGTGGTAAAAAAATATTGTGTTGGGTAATGAAGTAAATCTGTGTTTAAATTTGCCTGGCACTATAGCATAATTCTGGCTGATCTTTAGAACACATGATTTGAAAATCTATCTCAGCACCATGATAGTGACTCAATAGTATCATAGCACTAGCAGAGAACTGGCAGAAAACTGAAAAGGTTCTATTAGTTCGCCAGTTCTGGATTACTTTTATGTTAGTTTTAATATCAAGTTATTGTATTCAAAGATTTGGCCAAAATTATAGAATAGTGCTGGCCATAATTAACCAAATTTACTATGCCTTCACTATTACTTCAAAGGCCCAATCATAGTTTAAATGCACTTGTGCTGGTTAAGACAATGAGTGTATTAATTTTTGAGCATCACCAAGAAATTTTCTTGTCACTATAAAAAAAATTTCTTGATGATGGCTCTTAGTGACACTTTCATGTACTTTTTCAAAGTTTCATAATGCTTGGTCATCTTCTTTTATATCTTTTCTCTTTGTTACTAAGAGTCACTAAGAAAAAGTAAAGTTCTAGGAAAAAAAAATTAATTTTTTCTATAGGTAATCCTATGTATATGTATTAGTGTATATATGCTTAGTGTAAAGTATATATGCAATATATGTATAATATCAGTTAGAAAAAAAATAAAAAAGTAAAGAAGTCCGAATTTTCTTAGTGACTCTTAGTGATATAGTAACACCTATCTGAAACTTATTCTGTGGGTTTGAAATAGTGAAATAGCTATAAATTTTGTTACCAAGAGCATCACCAAGAATTTTTTGTCACTAAGACTTTTTGATGATACTTATCAAGTTGTATTATTTTTGTTTATCTCTATATTACCTACTGTTATCTGCATTGAAGTCAAGTTAGCTAGCTTTTTCCAATAGTACTGTTCTATTTTATGATGTTTTCTTGCATAAATATCACAAGTACTATATTTGGAAAAAGTTAATTTACCGCATTCATTGCAAGATACACATGAGGGAGAGTTCCAATGAATTTGGCATCCTTCCAGTCAGTAGCATCCCTGATTGCAAACCTCACCACTTCTGAGAATATAAGGACATCGATAAAATACCATTTTTTAATAACTATGAATAGTTGGTTTATGTATCGATTTATATATTTTGGAATTAATTTTTATTTTAAACTTTTTTCTTCTGGAATATATACATTCTCTCGAACTGTATATTTGTGATATAATACCATGATTCAATCTGAGCTTTCAGAGATTTTGGATGGCTTTACCCCATACTATTGTGAATTTAAAGTGTCTGATATAGATGTATTTTTATATAAAATTTGAGATGATAGTATTAGACCAAGGCATTTTATAGGTGCTGACAATGAAGATAGTATAGAAGCCATACTTACAGATCGTGAAGACCATTCCTTACACAAATTCATTGATAGGAATGAGTCACTCCAGCCCATTATAGATTTTGATTTGCCATAAAAGGTGCATAATGGCATTAAATCTAAGCTTATGCGTAAAGAAATACTAGATACACTCAATTGTGTCTTTAGAGATGTTTGTCTTGAAATATTCCTAAAGTGAAAAAAAATAGTATTACTATTGCCAATAGTACTGATGTGAAAAAAATATCCCTCCACATTTCTACTACTGGTATAAGGCTTAAAAATATTGCTCAGGTTGCAATATTCACTGAACTTGTTCATAAAAAACTTCTAGTATTTCTCCAGGAAAATAGTATTATTGACAATATAGCAAACAAATAACCATTCTCCTTGCAAATGCTAAGGACACCTAAGTTTGATGAAAAGACTGGCTCACATATACGGGTAAAAAAAGCAATATATCCAAAAGATGGAACTATCTTTGACTTTATGATTTGCCCACCCAATGATGAATCAGAAGTTATTGACAATTCTTTATTATGTGTTCTGAAACCGAATGTCAAAAGACATCAGAAAAGGAATAATAATACAAATGGTGAGAGTGCTTAGGCTGAATTTGATTTCATGAAAACGTTACTTAAAGAAAATTGTATCGAAGGATATACTCTCTTATTCCCTTCAGATAACATTTCTGACTTGTTTCCATTTACACGCAACTCCCCATTATACTGTTCATTATGTGATCAGGAGCATACAAATGAAAATGCATATATTATACAGAATAAAAAGTCATACAGATTTTATTGTCATTATGTCAATCAGGGTCGAAAACCTGGAATGAGAAATCCCTCATTAAAACTTACCATTAGTAAGACTTCCTTGGATCAAGAAAAGAAGCTTCTGAGCCTAATGAAATTACAACAGCATAGGATTTCTGATCCAAATAATCATTTCATATAGAGAGATCTAATTGATATATATATATCTGGGTGAAAAATTTCTTGCAATGAAGTATATAAAGTAATTCAGGCAACAGTCACCTGTATTCAAACAACATCAAGATTATAGGTACTTAAAATAGAAAATACAGATGGTGGTCTCATCTTTGAACTGGCATTAAAACTAGACCTTGCTAAGTATGAAGTTTGCTTAGTTGAATTGGAGATAAAGCAGTAAAACTAATTAATTTAATAGAACGGGTAGTCATCAAGGGGCTAATTCTTTATTGCAATATTGATTTTCTTCTATATTCACCAAATATACCAGTGCTTAATACAAAGTTCTTTAATCTTTTTCTAGGATTCAAAGCTCGGCCAGCAGATATGATTAATTCTGATATTATAAATCCTATTCTTTGGTATACAAAAAATATAATCTCTGGTGAGAATAAAGAACTTAATAAATATTTATAGTATTGGTAGGCATATTTAATACAAAATTCAACAAAAAAGCCTAGAACAATTCCAGTATTACATTCTCTTCCAAGTTGCAGAAAAAACATTTTAATAGATTTTATAGATAAAAAGGTTTTTGGTCCAGAGCTTTTCTATGGAACTTCTGATCTCAGAAAAATATTAGGATAATTCAATAGTTGTGTTCATGCTTGAAAATTAATTGTCATGAATGAGACAGATATGTCTAGCGAGAATTGATATAAGTATAATGATCATCTCAAATCACTTATTACAGAAGACTACTTAATGATAGAGCACAAAGGTCTTGAGTCTAAAGTAATAAAGGATTATGCAGGATTTATGGTCACAAGCAATTATGATGCTCCACTTCAGATAGAAATAGGAGATCATCATATTGTATGCTTCGATGTGTTTTCTTAATGCAAGAATAATATAACATATTTTAAGCATTTAGACAAAGCACTGGAGCATCCTGATGTGCCAAGTGTAGTTATAGCCTATTTAATTAGTTTTGATCTTTCAAATTGGAGTCCACAAGAGATCCCATTCACTAAAATAAAAGTTGATTTAATATATGAACAACTTCCTAATCTAATTCGATTTATAATTGATTATGTTGCACCTTGGTCTAATGATAATGTAGCCAGACCAAGTCGTACATTACTATATCAAAATTATTTTGAATGCTGTAGAGAAAATAGAGAAAAACCATTGTCTAGTAAAGTTGCTGAAAAGAAGTTTTCTCAAATTGGAATTGAGAGTAAACAGGCACAAGTAGATGGTAGAAAAAGGGAATAACAATATATTCACGACTGCTCCAGAATTGTGGCTAAGCTCTGTGAATCCAGCCTAGGTAACATCAAAGAATTTTCCGATACACCTCAACCCAACTTACCTGAAAATGTGACAGCAGACATACCTATATTTAATGTACCAGAAATTGTTTCTCCGAAAATAATTCCACCTTAGGCAGAAAAGAATCTCCCTTCTAGTAATAAGAAAGTAGATAATCAGGACAATGTAACCCAAGCTCTATTTGATTATGTAGTAGAAGAAACCAAAGCACCAGTTGCTTCAATATCTGGGACTTCCAAAACTTCTAAGATGTCTAACCTACCTGAGCCAAAAATTAATAAGCGGTCTCAAAAGGGCTGGCTCGAAACTAGCAAGCTTTCTGAACCTATTAAGCTTATAAGTAGAGTAGCGCCTGATACACCTTCTAAAGAAACTGATTATTCTAAGCCTGTCAATGAAATATCGTTTGCTATACTTTTAATTAGAGCCCAGCATGAAAAGCACCTCAGAAAAAGGGCAATCAAACTCAGTGAAGACTCTGATAAGTTCATGACCATCACAGAAAAAGACAGACTCGATTTCACTGTATTTTATTATAAATGAAAATGGATGCATGAATGTATGATTATGCAAAAGAGAGTAAAGAAGACCCAAATGAAAATATGGAAATGACAGGACGAGAAAGATTAATAAGAGAAGAGATTATCTGACATGAACTCGAAAAAAAAGGAATCACATCCTCATGGCTCTATATCGATAGGGAATGGCAAAAAAATATAAGCATACTTCAGAAGAACAGTATGCTTTAGTAAAGAGCGAATTATTATTATTTGTTTTGAATTAAAAAATAACTAGATTAATATAATTAGATAATATTTATTATTCTCATGGCTACGAAAACAGCTATCCCAAAAACCTAAAAATCTAAAGTTAATAATTTTGTATTGATCTTAGAGCAGTTTCTAGAAAAGTATAATCTGATAACGGACTCCACTTCAGAACAATTAAGCAAACATGCTCCCAAACTTGATGCTCTACTTCCTGATTGGATGACTCGCAGGTATGTTAAAGTCACCCTTGCCAGAGGTACTAATAACAGATGCTCATTTAGTAAAGAGCAGATAGAGGCTCTCCTATCAGATAAGAGAAAGAAAAAACTCACCATAGAGGAAAGGACAAAATATTGCGCTAAAATTGGCAATGCTATAAACATTTTCGCCTATCATTTGGATTTAGGCCCAAAAAATGATTATAAAAATGAAATAGTCGCCAGTGATTCATGCTAGTTGCAATTTCATGTGAAATTAGCAAAAGGCAGAGTAAGTTCTAAAATTATTAATACCTATGCCAAAGATCTAAAACTTATTCAAGAGTTTAATAAAATTCGGAAAAAACAAACTAAAAAATGAATGACTAATTCGGATAGAATTCCAATACACTTCTTGTTAGCAAGAGTACTTAAAAGAATTCAGAATATGGATGTTTCTAAAATTCCATCTAAAGAAGATCTTATGAATGTAATTGTGATGTTGAGTATGAGACCTGCAAAGGTAGGATCTCTTCAAAATTTTCACTATGAATCAGATCCTTTGAATGCTTCAGTATAGTATAAAAAAGGTTATTCTTGGTACTATGTGAGCTATTTAAAAAGTAGAGAAGAGAAGAAAAAAAATCCCAAGCCTCGACCATTTCTTTCCATGGAGAAGAGCCCGGAATATATTAGAGAATTACTCACTTGGATCCAAAATGCAATCAAGGCAAAAAAGTTGTATGATTCTGTTTTTACAGAAAATGAAACGCATTATGCCTAGCTATTTAATGAATTCTTAAAACAAAAACCTTATAAAACTATATCTAAAAAATTAAGAGATTATAGAAGTAAACATGCTTTCAGAATTCATGGTGGTAAGAAACCAACTTCCCAACATCTTAAACTGCTTTTGAGAATCACAATGAGACAAGAATCAGATCGCCTTGATGCAAGTGATAATTATGTTATAGGCGATACAGAATTAGAAGAGTCTAACTCTGAACCAGAGACAGATAACAGTTTAAAACCCCAAATACAGACTTCTTTACTATTTCAAAGAATAGAAATAAATTCAATGTTAGCTGAAATTGATGCAATGTTAACTGAAATTCAGAAATAAATACTAGAAAGAGGGTTAGGTAGTGAGCACTTGTTTGGAGAATTTTCACTAGACCCTTATAAACGTGAGACTTAAATTGTTCACCGTTTTCCTAATTCTATTCTTCTTTTTTCTCACAAGCTTGAAAAAAGATATATAGTTAACTGTTTAGAAACTAAAAATCCATTAACTAACTATATTTGGTTTCGAGCAAAAATTACGAGAAGGTGGAATCATAATTGAGAGATATATTTTTATATTAATATTTTTTTCTTATAAATTGGTGATGTTGAAGTGAAATAAAAATCCTGTCTTCTCATGATTAAATCATTCGAAACCAGATATATTAATAATCCAGATATATCAGTAATCCAGATCTTTTTTTGAGTTTGTGAAATCTTAATCAATAAAATCCATATGTTAAACATGTTCAATATTCAAAAATGAAGAAAAAATAGTTATGCCTGATACATGTTGACTGAATATGATTTAAACTATATCAATAATCAAAAAACACCAGAAGCTTGGTTACAATTTCACATTGTTTATTAAACCAAACTCGAGTTCATCATATTTGAAAAGATTTAAACCTTTCACAGAATGAGCTAGAGCATCTAATAATGCATTGTGTTCCAATACTCCAAATGAATTAGATCTAGAAAATGCAACAAATAATCCATTTTTTGCTTGCTCAAATAAATTAAGAAGGCACATGATAAATAGCCTAAGAAGGATAAAATGTTGACGAGCTTCCCAGGCTTGATAAAGTTTTTCAAAGCATCTTTACCAAAACATCTTTGATAATCCCATCCAGTATATGTTTTCCTAGGATCCCAGTCCCAATAATTGTCTTGATCGTTATCACTATCTTCATCATTACTATCTTCTTTGTCAATGTCAGATTCACTATTGTCATCATCATCCATGTTGACAGGTACAACTTCATTATCTAATAATCCCAAAGCCTCCAAGAATTCATGTACCTCAATTTTATTACCAGTACTAATGTCAGAATAAGTTTGTTCTATAATGATAATATACCAAAATACCTTATCTTCAATTTAGGCCCAGTCTTTCTCGACAAAATCGAAAACTAGATATAGTAAGTTATTAGTTTTAAATATATCTTTTTGAGCTGGCTTGCTTGCGAGAAAAAAAAGGGTTATTTAGCTTCTCTCATCTATGGTCACTTCGTGCTATAGAAATTACCCAGCATCAAATAAAAATATGTTACATTACTAAACACACTAGTGTTGCGGTCCCACAGGTCTGAAGCAGGATCACTAGTTCAGAAGATTTTTGCTAGGCCACACCTCCTCAAAAATCTATGAAGTGTATTGATTAAATCATTATTTTTGTTTTTCATTCAGGTGCATATAACAAAAATAAGATTAATTAACTTCCTGATTATCCAACTAATCCGGAGCAGTGATCATCAACCCGGAGCAGTGGTCAGTAATATGAATTTTTTTAATTTTAAAAATAGTATAATATTAATAATAAACATAATGAGAGAATCATATAGTGATATGTTTATAAGAGATACGATTAATTGGGTAGATCGGTCATCCCCTCCGAGCTCTCCAGTCTTAGAACCTAAAGAAGATAAAGTATCATCTCCAACACAAGGAAATAGCTCTGTGAGTGAATACATTAAGATGATTAAGCAATATGCTATTAGCGTTGGCAAGGATTTAGATGATATAGACGTTAAAGAAAAATTCCTTGTTGGATTATCACCTGATAATGAAAAGCGTGTAGAAGAGTTTGGGATTAAAAAACCTTTGTCTGAAATTTTCAATTTCTTAGTTAAGTTTTGCAGTTCAGCAATGTGATGCTCAGGTGAACCGCATAGACTAAATTATTATTTCTTTTTTTCGAATATGCATATTAAACGTCACCTATATTTTTTCGCAGTAATAAGAGTGCCATTGTTCATGAATTATATTCGCAGATGAGAGCATGTGATTTAACTGCAAATCTATGGGGAATAAATCAATGAATAATTAATCCGCCAACTTTTTTCCGGAACGTTCTGGCATAGTACGCGTATTACGAATCTTTAAATTAGTATTACGCAAGTCAATCTGATGTCCCTGACGTTAGAACGAGACAAGAATGGAAATTGCGCCAGTGATTTACAGATCTGATCCTACGATATGTAATGAGTACTATAGCACCATCCATTCTACATGATAAAATTCCATTATGGGTCATTGGTAGGTTTGTATGGAGGCACGAATTGGGTTTAAAATAACGTATAGTTACGCAAAAAAACGTGAGAGATCTTCCAAATCTTGTGCGATCTTAGCAATAAACAGTATATTTCTCGATAACAACTTCAACTTTATTAGTATTAAATTACGGTATCTAATTGGTCATAAAACCGTAACTGGTAATCGTCGGATTTTCTTTTAAGCCCTATTATTAAATGGCCTCAAATTCGGGTTATTATCGGATTGGGATCTAGGCTGTTATTAATGGTTTTAGGTAGAAAAATGAAATTATAAAAAATGCAATTATGACGAATTCACGGAATAAAGCAACATAATTTTGATTATATCGGCTAAATTCTCATTTTCACGTGTAGTAGAAATAAAGTATAAAATAACCCCTTTTCCTAGCGCATCTATGCGAAAGAATTGCATATTATAAAAAAAATCAATCATTAGTATCTAAAAAAACTGATTTGATCCACTAATAAGCTCAAATAAAAAATAATACGCATCACTCTATCCGTATCATGTCCAGTTTAACATTGTTCAACTCTTCGGGAAGCATGCCGTTTTTAGTCTTGACCGTTGTTTTTTTATTCGTTTGTCCACTGATATTCATGGGGATCGTTACTATGTGGATGATTCTCAAGCAAAAAATTTCCGAAGAACTCTCCGCGCATGTCACCAAAATTAAGCATGAAATCGCAGATGATCTCTCTGCACGTGGTACTAAGATCGCCAATGAACTTGACGGAAAAAATAATACAACTATTACTGCGGAAATCAAAAGAATCCTTACTGATGATGTCTATAGAAAACTTACTTCAGAAATTAATACTAAAATCATCAACGAGCTTTCCACACGCCTGTCTGAAATTAATACTGAACTTAATAGTAAACTTATCGCAGAAATCACCAAAATTAATACACGTGATGCTGGCTACGCCTCTGAGGCGCAGAAAATTTTTTCAATGGTCAATAATATAACTACGAAAGTTAATAATATCGAAGAAGCCTGCCGTAATGAATTTAGCAGAATTAATGTTGTTATCGAAGATCTCCAAAACAAAATAAACCAACATTACGCAGTGGTTCAAAGATCCGATTTTGATCAACAAAGTGTGTCCAATGAATCTGAAGCTAATTCGACCAATGAATCTGAAGCTAATTCGACCAATGAATCTGAAACTAATTCGTCTCCAAGCTCTTCTTCTGGAAGTTCCAATTTATCTGGAATTTTTGTTATTACTGGAGACATTAGAATCCGCTTTAAAGAACACTTCGATCGGCTTATGAAGGCGAGGAATTATGCTTTTGATGAGATGTGCTTTTCGGTAGTAGTCGATATTCGTTGTCTTGGAGGAAATATTAAGATCTCAACAGTGAAAAATTTTTATAATGGTGTTAGTGGCAGTAAAATTAGTACTGTTAATCAGATAAATGCATGGGTAGCTAGTTTTAATAATAACGGAGTACGATGTTAATCAAAATTTCCGGCTCTATAGATGCCCAAAGTCAAAGCGGACATGTTACCATTCCTAATCTTTTTAACATATTTAATATTCGCCGAGAATATAGTGATCATTACACGTGCAGTGAAATACAGAGAAAAAATTATACGACTGTAATTTCAGCTGGGGCAAGACTATATATTATGTAACAGTAATTCAGCGCAGTATATCAAATGGCTTTACGTGTAATGTTTGGCGCAGAATCATACTTGCGATAAGTATCTTAATGAATATAAGGCAGAATGAAAATGAATCGTAGTGGTAAGTGTGAATCGAAAATATTTCATTGTTTCAGTTGCTAATACTCCCGTAATTATACTATAGATTCGAAATTTCTTAATCTCGAAGTTCTCTTTTTAGGAAAAATCTTTTTCATAGTCTAGATGGATGGTAGTGATAAAGCGATGAGATCGTATCTTAATTTATTTATATGTTCTCCACCTAGAGCAAAAATCAAAACTTACTGGTAGAGAGAGCGAACAGTGCTGTATTCAGCATGCACGTAAGCCGTGAATCAGAGTGTGCAAGCAAAAACGGGTGTTTAGGCCGGTGATTGACACTCCGAAACATAGCTGTGGGTTATACCTGCCATGATTCAGAGAATGTGCAAGCAAGAACGGGTGTTTAGGCCGGTGATTGACACTCTGAACCACAGCATGAAGCACAGTGCTTGGAGAATATGCTCTGATAGTTTGAGTCGCAAATGTATCGTTCTTATACATATACATCGTATAAGAACGTAGCACCTGATCGTACAACAATCAGGTTACACAAATTTGGGGAACCAAATAGTGATGATCACTCATCACTGACGCGTAAATTCTGTTATGAACGCTTACCAATATCGTGTTCCTGTGGGTACCAACGTATCCTCCTATTTCAAGACATTTCCTCTTAGTGTTTGGTCTCACAAGCACTTCATTGAGAACACAGACATCCTAGATTTTGAACAGGCGACCCGACTCTGGTACGAAAACCTCACTACCATAAGAAATCTTCCTGGTTCATTGCTTAGTAAAGAGCTATTTGATGTGATTATCAAGAGAAAAATGGGTGACACACTTACTATTAACAAAAAGAAGCGCAAGTACGCAGAAGATGAAGTACATACTAGTTCTGTAGGTTTCTCTTGTAATACATTTTCAATATCCGAGAAGAAATATTGCATTGTTAATCAGCTTGCCTGCCATATTAGGTCACGACATCCGCTAAACTTCTAAAAGATACATTCAAGTATCATAAAAACAACACGTGACAGAAATTGGGCATGCCTGTGACCTCATCACTGCTCTCAGTTACATTTGTTACAAATCAAGATAATGAAAAGGCTCACACAGATCCTGAGAAAGTGATTACAAATCAAGATAGTGAAGATTCTTTCACGACTTCTGAGAAAGTGATTACAAATCAAGATAATGAAATGGCTTTCACAGCTCCTGAGAAGGTGAGTATAATTCGCAGTTTTGTAAATAAATCAGATGAAACTGACATATCATAATTTTTTTGTTAATATAATGCAGACAAAAACATTTAACAATGAACATATTGACTCAGCAAGTGAGAGAAGTTCTGAAAAGCTTGAGGATGAAAACAACGAAGAATTAAAATTTGATCTTCTTGATATTTTGTTAAGCTTCCAATGTGAGGCAACAGTTAAAATATGTCACATGTATTGTAGTTTCTATATTTTGCATATCTCTCAGTTTTCTTCCTTTTTTCAGTGGAAAGTTGGTAATATTAACATTACTAATAGATTTCAAGAATATCAAAAAGATGTGCTCAAGAAAGCAGAATGAGGTTTATGTTACAAAAACACTTATGAGCTATTGTAAATATTTTGAAATATAAAATTTTATAATGATTATATTTGGATATATTAAAATTTTTTTCGTTATCTTATTTAGAGTATTATCATCAATCATTGTTATCTGTTGGTCATGTCTGTATCATATATTTACAAATAAAGAATGGGTGAAGATTATAAAAACCAATTCATATACAATTGAAACCCCTTCACTTCTGCAAGAGATTTCTGCATCTCTTCACAAAGCAAGTTGTGAAAATTTTATTAGCGAAGAAGTATTTATAAATAGGGGAAAGATGACATTAAGTAAAAAAGTAGCAACTTCGTTTAATGACTTGTATGTTTTATAATGTATTGTTATTATCTATGAGTTTGAAGTTTTGTGATTCATGAAATTTTGATACATTATACAGATGTAGTGGTTTACCAATGGCCTCATCCAAAACAATGGAAAAGATAACTGAAGAAAAACATTGTTACAAGTTCCTTTATCCAATCATTAAGCCCTTCTTTCTTAATCCTTTAAAGGAATATAAAGTTGTTTTGAATCATGCTACTGCAGGCTCGAGAAAAAGGCCTGACCTATCCTGTATGGTAGATAATGTTACAATTTTAAACTTGGAGATTAAACCGTTGAGATGCATTCCACTCCAAATTCAGAAAGACTTTTTAAAAGCACAATTGAGAGCTCATAAATCGATCAATATACAATTAGAAAATAAAAATGGATCAGGTGAATCTGGTATATTTTTAAACATGGGTATGTGCTTCAGTATTTGTAATAAATTATGTGAAAAAAGTTTTGTTATATTGTATGTTTACTAAATTAAACTTTTGTGATAACCAGATGAGTGGATGGAGTCGTATATTATAGATCTCCAATATGATGGACTGTATCAATTGTAGTCATTCCTCACGACAAAACTAGTAATTGATAAAGCATCCATTCCACTCTATGAATATGCAATAAGCCATGTTATTGTTCTGGAAGTATGTGATATTTTCACTTTTGAGTTTGTAATGAAATAATTTATTAATTTGGCTTTTTGCAATAGTAGGAACAGATTGGAAAAATTGCAGAAAACTATAAACATCGAGATAATCAAAAGAATCAAGAAAACTGAAATGGTGTGATTACACTACCTATATCTTTTATATGTACATCTCCAGACACTCCACAAATGAAATTGTTACTTCAGTCAGGCACATTACCAAAAATGAGTAATGCAGATCATATATAGAAATGTCGATCAAGTTGATTCTAGAAATACAGTAATATAAATTGTGATTGGCTAATTTCAGAAATTAAAGATTACACTTTTCTTATGCGAGATGTTACAAAAATTTATTTATTAAGAATGAACTAGGAAAAACCCCTTTGGCATTATTTTGTATAGTTAAAAACTGTAAATAAGTATTATGAAAAGTCACAATTTTTGATCAAAGATGACTAATAAGAGCCAATCAAATTTCGAAAAATTTTATAGAATATTCTAGAATCGATTTGTAATATGCCTGACTGTACTTTAGCGACAAACATTCTTTTAATTTATTTGCATTAAATTTCTGCGTATTTACTTACTACTTGCTTTATAATTCTTTTTATATATATTAAGTAAACTAGAATAATAATAGTTCATCCTTAGAGTAAGATTTTCCAACTTCGCTCACATGATATTTTTATATTCTCAAATGTGAAATTTCTGTTATATTATATGGTTATAAATATTTTCCTTGCAATATTCCAAGATGGCTATCATATACCTGTGACGCACATATCATAATGTGTAAATAGACCATTAAAAAGAAATATTTACGATGTATAATATCTCACTGCATCTTGACAGATTTCTTATTAGGACCTTACTATCATCATAAAACACAAACAATATAAATTTTTGGCAAGGTTTTGATCAGGATAAATGAAAACCGATACTGAATTAACAAAAAATTTTTGAGCCATTAATATAGAACTATCGTGTAATATACTACAAACTGAAATATATATTTATTTCCTGTATCAAATAAAACATTCGAAACAAAAGTCATACATCATATCAAGAATAATTTTTTTATTATAGAGTCAGAAAAATAAAAAAAAATGTTTATACTGGTATGCCAGTTTTGTATATGCTCTATTGTGTTCTCGAAGCTAGCCAGAATGTAATATATTCTCAGCATTACCAACTATAATTGTTACAGATAGTGGAGTTCAAACTGATAAAATTACCTGTGATTATGAAAAAAACAATCACTAGGTTATGAACAAACCTAAAGTATTATTCCAGCATCTACTTGATTATAATAAAAAAACTTTCGAGAAGTTTATGTGAGACATAGAAAAGAAATATAAAAAACGAGTTAATGCTAATAAGAAGTTGCGATATAAAGTTGAGGATCTGAAGTTGCAGGTGACTTATGTTAAACTTTTTTTTTAAAAAATATATGTTATTGCTAACTTATCTTGTAGGTGGGAGCTTGCTTATTTTATACTTCATATTTGTTAGGTCAGAACCTGCCAAAAAGAAAAATACATGATTAGTAATTATGTTACCCAAATCCAATGCCAGATTTTTCTCTATAAAGCAACTCCGCTCAGTCATAAGTTCCAAATACTGAACCTATTTTGTTATTTTTCTGGTAAAATTAACCCTCTTAGATTCAATGATCGCTTAAGGTAGATTTAGATCTGATGATCTTGGAGATGTAAAGATTCCAAATCCTTGCGACATATGAATTTTGACAAAACCATTGATTAATAATGTTATACTTATTGCCCTTATAGCCTTTTTAAGTCTCATTCTTATTGCAGGATCATATAAACTAAGAAAAAGGGTCTAGATGCTCTTCATGTTAGCACTACTTTAACAATAAAAAATTGACTATGAGAAATGATTCTGCAGAAGAGTGACACTGCATAAAATTTAATGCAGGCCATTGATTATTATATTATAAAAATATAAAAATATTAGCTAGTTAACTAATAGTTAACTTACTATACTCTGACAGCCTCTGGACACAAAATTTATGCAATAAAAATTTATGCGGACCTGTAGGACTGTTAAGTCATATGATAGCATAACAGAATAAATTCAAAAGGGAAAAGCTACAGACACAACATTTTACGTGACATTGTCTTATTGGCACAACAGAATTAACCAATAAGAACCAAAAAAATTTTAACATGATTTTAACTAATCAGCATTGTGTAGATCAGTTATCTAATTTACTATTAACACGTTATATAAATTGATTGTCTATAAACGCATACTTTGTAAATTGATTATCTAATGCTTTGCATATTATAATACCACTTTTTCATTTTTGTCTCTTGAATAACAAACATTAATAACCATGCAAAAATCAAATAGTCTGAACAATTCTTCATATTATGGTGTTAACTTATTTACTATTTTAGCTTCAAATCATACTAACAAGTGTGAATTGAAGGAAGACAAAATTAGCTTAAATGAAGAAGAATATAGTTCGAAAAATGAACTTTGGATGGATCAATATAAGATAAAGTTATAATAACTATGCAGATTTTAATAGTCAGAATAATTCTTTGTATGCAGTGTAATACTCTGCAAAATCAATTTAAAATTTGAATTTTATTTAAATATTTTCAAATATTTGATTCAAATTCAAACTTTGACTTGGTTTTGCGAAGTACTAGTGCTATGTTAACTTATTTAATATTTCAGCTTCAAATAATAACAAGTGTGAATTGGAGGAAGATAAAATTAGCTCAAATGAGGAAGAATATAATACAAAAAGTAAAGTTTGAACAGGTCAATGTAAGATGAGCTGTAATATTTTTAATATGGTATAACTTAAATTATACTGTAATTGCTATTATTAATATCTTTTTTTTTTTTTTTTTACAAGCAACAATAGTTGTTGAGCAAAATTATGATACAAAAAAGGATATTCTTAATATTGCTCAAAAGAATGCAAAAAATTTTGGGTTTGCTGTCTTAACTAAAAGTAGCAGTTCTCGTTATCTTTACATCCAATGCAAATGTAGTGATCAGCCTAAAAATTGTTGGGATTTAACAATAGATAAATGAAAAAGAAAAAAGATGAGTAAGTGCTATGAATGTTCTTATTTAATGAAAGCAATTTCCAATAATTCTAAATGGCATGTTGCAGAAATTATAAATAAACATAATCATCCAATAGTAAAAAATGTATGAGTTTTTCATGAACATCATCAATTAACATAAGATGCAAGACATATTGCTGTAAAAATGTTAAAAGCAGGTTCAAAACCTAGCATGGTCTATGAGGCTATTAGAAGTAAAGATGGAACTCCAACTGCAACAAGAAAAGATATATCCAATTTAAGTACACAAATTAATTTTTTAGAAGAAACAATGTCAATAGCAGTATTAATAAATAGTATGGAAGAAAGGGGGTATACTGTATACTATGAAACTTATAAAGAAAAGTATTTTATGTTTTTATTTTATTTATTATTATTTTAGTAAACTAATAACAATATTATTATAGATAGACGAATTAAGCATTTATTTTTTTGTTATAAGGAATCTATTAAAAATACTAAATGTTTTTCTGAAGTTATTTTAATTGATGCAACATATAAAACCAATGTTTACAAGTTGCTATTTGTAAACTTTGTTGGTATTAGTAACCTTGGAATTAATCGGTTACATACTTTTGGCATCACTGGTGCCTGGATTTTAGATGAATCTGAAAAATCATATGTCTGGATTATTGAACATCTTGCTTCACTTATTTTTTCTGATATTTTTCCTTCTGTATTTGTTACAGACAATGATCTTGTACTTATTGGTGCTCTTGGAAAAATATTTCCTAAATCTGAACACCTTTTATGCACTTGGCATATAATGAATAATTTTAAAAAAAATTTAAAAAAGCATTTTAGTGACATTTCATTTGATGAAGTTGTGAAGATAATAGACAACTTTATTTATTCGAGAGATTATGATGCATTAAATGCTACGATAATAACTTATAAGAAGCTGGCTTTATCAAGTTCTAATGAAAGTAAAGTTTTAAAATATCTTAACAGATAAGTATTATATTATCTTTTAAATTTATTTGTTTATTTATTTTTATTTTATTTTTATTATTATTATTATTATTATTATTTTTTTTTTTTTTTTTTTTTTTTTTT